TGACCGAGTCCCGAATCAGTCACGATGCTTCGCAAAATAGCCCAGAGGTTCTTTATTCCTCTTTTTGTGGCTTGGTGAGCCCGGTCTTGAAGTCGCCAGGGCTGTTTCTTCTTGAATCAAAGGGGTTTTGGGGATCTGAATAGACATATCGTTTAATGCCGCAGCGCCATTGAGCGACATTTTCTCATGCCCATTGACCACAACCGCGGGGCTTTGAGGTAGCCGGGCCTCTTCGGTATTATAGACCCAGGTAGCAATGAGTACTATCGAGGCTCCGATCAAGAACTGGAAGTCGTTAGCTGTGGTGAACAGACCAAACAAATCATAATGGCATACATGTCCGGTCATGGCGAAATCAAAGAACATGAAGCTCGCCAGGCTGCTAAGGACCATGCTGATGCTAACAGCAAAGTTCTTTGAGATATTGTCGGCATAAAAGATGCAGAACGCCGCAACGATGCCGCCAAAGGATTGAATGACAATTGATGCAGCCACCACCCAGTTGTAACCCGCGAAAAAGCCATATTTTGCCACTGTTTCGCCATCAAGGAAGACGATTCCGATGAAGAAGGCCGGAAAAAGGGAATATATCGACAGTTGCACATTTCGAATCCAGAGCGATGTGTTTTTGGGCGATTCCTTGATGACCTTTTCAAAGTAAACTCCGGCAAGCCCTGAACATATGCAAACACCGAGAACCGCAAACAGTCCCACAGAGGCATCCATCCCGGGAGTGTCCAAGGCGAGCTCGTCTTCTTCTATGCCCTCGTACGTTGCTGATCTCTTTTTGAGGTGGGAACCAGGTTCTGTCATCCGAAAGTGCTCTCGCAAAGGATTGGACGACCGTGGAAGGTAGATCCTCGTATGGTGGCTTGAGGCTAAGGACCCTGACGAGCCGTGAGGAAGGGAGACAATCGCAACTCCCAGCATAAGCAGGATCAAGGACAGCCACTGTCTTCCCGAAATCGTCCTCCGCAGAAGCAAGACGCTGAACACGGCGGTCACAAAGATCTTGAATTGGTACGTGACATGGAAGGTCGCGGCGTCCAGATTGGATATTGCAACGTATTGCAGGCTGTTCGCCAGCGTGTAAAGCCCGGCCGGAAAGGCCATTTTCCAACTGTCGCCGGTGAAAACGGCGCTACCTAGTATCCCGAGGAGCGAGGTTGCTGGCATTGATCGGGGGACGGAGAGGGAGACTTCGTAGAGCGATATCGTCAGGCATACAGCCAGTTTCAAGGCTTCAACGAGAAAGACGGCTGTCGAAGGAAGATAGCGATGTCCGTCGATAGTAGGCATAACCCGGGAATAATGGAGGAGCTGTGCGAGACCAGTCAGGTCAATGTGTACAGGACGCAGAAAGGTCCCTTCCGACTCACTAAAATGAAGGTGGAAAATTGGACTGTCAACTGTACAAATAATCAGTCAGTCTGTGAATGCATGGAGGATTCATATAGGGCTCCTCTTACTGTGCCCAAAGACAGACTGCGGAGTGACACTCCCATGAATTTGGACGCGTTGCCGCGCCTTTCCACGCCCATTGCTCGAGGTGGTGTTTGACGAAAAACCTTCCAAGTGTACAAATATTCGATAATGCAATGCCGCTGTGTCTAGCCAAACGGGTCTGCGCCAGGCAGATCAACCACTCTCATGTGGTAAGGAAGAGAAGGGGGGCGTCAAAGGAGTGGACAGGATCTCGGTGCAAGAGGCAGTATATGATTCTGGCACGTCGAACCAGTGGCGGAGATCGAGCAATGAGGTGAAGATGACCCAAAGGTCATCAGACACGCGAGCAACACAAAATGAGTGAACGAGACCTGTGGCAGCAGACCAAAAACGATAGGGGAGGAAAACCTTGGGTAAAGGGTGGAATGGTCGCTTGCCGCGTTGATTGGTGTTTTCTGGTGCCTCCCCAGCCAGCGGAACTTCTACAAGTCAATGGCTCTGCCATGCCCTGCGTCATGGCCTTCCACGCCTCCTGCGCCTTTCCAACTTATTAATCTTGGCATCCCAGTCCCTGGTGTGGCGGTGAAAGATCACATCAGATGGTCTCTATGCTAGTCCTGTCATTGCTATGTAGACTGATCATGATGAAGATGCCCTCAGCAAGTACTAAAAGTCCGCAGCGACATCTCTCAGGCACGGAAAGACAAGCATCCATTAACTATAAACTCCCTGCGCATCCCGGGCTCTATAAACTACCCAGCCTCTTACTGTACATTGATCCACATTGGACCTATCCTCCTTCGTCATCATAAAAGCCAGAGCCATGACTATTGTACACAAGCGGTCCACCGCTCTCTCAAAACGTCGTCACTGTCCTTCCTACTAGGTACTCGTGATCCCACAAAGGAAACGACAAACGAGACGCAGCCGGGCTCTTGAACGTCAAAGATACAGCCCTAATGCGCTGCTGCTGCAATTTTCATCCAACCATTATAAGGAAAATCAATGAAGTCTTGGGAAGAGACCTCTTCTCGTTTTGGTGCTGCCTGTAGCTTCTCCAGTGTGGCTAGATAGTGGCTCTCCCGTCGACTTCGTGAGTTGTCCCTCGAACTGTTGCTCGACGTCGAAAAAAAGGTCGAACGGCTCATCCTACTGACTGCACCATTCGATGGCGCAAGTAGGGTAGGCGACAACATAGCCATCGAGGACGACGCTTCGGTCTCTGGCTCGATGGAAGTGCCGGTCTGAAAGCTGGCGAGTGAGTATCGCCCGCTAGGTTCTGTCGACAGCCCTGTTTGGAAAGTCGTGCAAGAGGCCTGGTCAAAGTTGGCATCTGTATGTGGAGATCTCGACTGCTCCTGTGTCCTCCCATGTAAAGTTAGCTGGACCTCCAACGCTGCGGAGATCCGCGGAGGGCGTTGATGCTTCGTCGATTTGGTCTCCGTCTCTCGCAGTGCCCGTATCCTTTGGTCTGCCACACCACCGTTGGATGGTCGGCCAAGGACTGCTTTCCTCGAACGGATAGCAGCCAAAAGAGATTCTTCTTGTCGGGTAACGCTCATCATTCTCCTGCTTTCAATGCTTGCGGTGTCGGACAAACAAGATTCGTGGAAGGATGGGCGGTGCGAGGATGCTTGGTCCGTGGGGATGGCAGGGAACGAAGTAAGCAAGTCGTCATCTTCTGGCGGAGGATTGGAAGATTGGTCGCTAAGATAAGTTGATCGATGGCTTCGTCGCTGGTTGGGAGGCTTCGATAATGATGATGCAGAGCCCCGAAGATGACTGCCATGAACACGCCGCAGATTCGGCGTCGCCCTCGATCTTACAGTTGCACTTTGTTTTGTACTAACTGCTTTAGCCGTCCCTACCTCAATTTCTGAATCCGCCAGTGATTCCACAGCTATGCTGTCCCGCAGCAGCGGAAGAGGAACGCTCCCAGATACTCTGCGATTTGGCAATGGCTGTGGCTTGCCATCACCTTCATCATCAGAAGAGGACAAGTCGAGGATGCTGGTTTTGTGGAGATCGGTAGACGCTAGGGACGATGCTTTTGGTTTTGATGAGGTTTGCTGTGACTCAGCCCAGGAAAGGGTAGATCTTGACGATTTGGCATTGAGGGTTGAGACGCGCGAGGGGATCGTTGAACAAGGGAGCAAGTGACTGGATGGTGCTTTCGAACTTGCAGCTCGACTAATTGTTTCCGGTGTTTGTGTCCGGACGCTAGATGCCTCATTTGTCAAAACACCGATCCTGCGTCCTTCGAATGCCATTTCCATTCCTGCAACAAAGCTTGGTTGCAGTTCAGGCTCATGGACGCTTTCGTCATCACTGCTGTCACCTTCGAGTCCATCAAACCAGTGCTTTGCCCCGGCTTTGGGCCGTCTGATATTCATCTTTATGTATGAAGTTTCTTGTCGAGAAGGAGTAATAGATGGTTTGGACTTCTCTGCACCGACTGATGTTGCAGGATGCTCAGACTGGAAGCGCACACCTTTTTGTGTCTTAGACTGATGAGTAGTATGTAAATGCCTCGTAGATTCACTTTGATTAGAGGGCCTGTTGGAATGTTGGTTGTTGAACAACATCTTGGCGGCAGCATCCTCAGATTGAGAACTGTGCTTCGTGAGCTTCTTCGTTCCCGATTTATTGTCGCTTTTAGAGCGGCTAAAAAGTTTCAATTGACGCGGAGAGCCCTTGTCCGGAATCGTAGATTTGATGACCACCGGCGTTCCTTTTCGGAGAGCAAAATCCCGTCGGGAGGACTCAGAAGTCTGTTGTGACACCGCTAATGGCGCCTTATAAGCATCATAATACGAGTTCATGGTAGAGGATGAGCCGTATGTCTTGAGGCGCTTGGAATGTGTTGAGCCAGCAGCATCTGCTTTGAGCAAGAATTCCTCGTGCAACAACACAGACGACGCTTTCAAGTTGAGATCTGCACTGGCATCCAGCTGTTCCGTTGGGGGATGAGAAGAGCCCAGTTCGGTTGTGGCACTTGAAAATGACAAGGCAGGCAATTTTGCAGTGGCTGAAGAGCTAATGCTCTGGTTCCGCACCGTGTTGAAATCAGTTTCAGTGATCCCAAGCAGATGCTGTACTTTGTATTCGTTTCCTTCTGGCTGCCGGCCTTGGTTTGGAGCATTGGATTTTGTTCGTTTCAGAGACGCCGGCAGACGGAACCTTTGACCGCCACCCATATCAGCGTTTCCTGATCATGCCCACACGCTGACCTCTGATCTTTTGTGCATGCCGAGGTGGAGGGTATATGGGACAAGCAGCCAACAAATACTCCGTCCAGTCCGTCGAGTCTCGTATCTTTTGTCTGACAGTGTTTCGTTTGAGGTGGTTTCTCTTGATCTTAGACCCGCTCTCGCAACCAGGACGGTATCGTCCAGAGGAAAAGGTCAGGAGGTGGAGGTTAACCGGTGTCGAGTTCGAAGTGCACAGACCGACGAGCCGAATGCCGTTCTTTGCGGGACTGTACGAGTAAACACGTTATTGGAATCTCGTGGAGGCCATTCTGCAGAACATGCCGGAGAGGCTTTCGAGGGGCTATGGTAACAAAAAACTTTGACAGTTCAGTTGAACTGAGGCAGGTGGAGGAGGTCGTGGAGGTCGCAGTGGAAGTAGGGTGTATGATGAGCAGTCCAAATTGCCCGGACTGGAATCGCCTGGCATTGAACTGGCCATCAGCCTCTGGCGGATCACCAGGTCTCTTCAGGCGGGATGACGAATTGAAGGCGGGCACGACAAATACCATGGATAACGGCCACCGCCCCGAGTCCCCAAGTTTCGAGCCTAAAGTTGCTCGTGGACACCGGACTAGCAAGGGCAAGGGTTGGTCGAATGGGCTTGAAGGAGATGCCATCCCCGAGGTGGAAAACGCTTGAAAGCTGCTGGAAAGTGTCGGTGGCTTGAATCGTTCCAGAAACTAGGGTTCCAGCCGTGTTGCCATGCCCCTTCTGGACCTTCTGGCCTTTCTGTCGGTGTTCTTGAGGCGTCTCTTGAAGCCCGCCACAAGACGTCTAGGCTGTGGTGGCGGATGCTAACCCAAATATAAAGGATTCAGAGTTGCTAGCTGCACCCTCCGCGGGCGGTGCTGAGTGGTCAGCTGAATGAGATGAGGAGCCATGGGGGTAAACTGGTAGCTTGCGAAGCCATCGCTAGCACCACTTGTTAGTTGAAGGCCAGAGAAGGGGTAGATCAAGTCCTTTCTTGGGAAGGATGTCGCGTTAACTGGATGGAGATCAAGTCTAGTGTGGGTGACGAGAGCCCCAGGGAGCAGCTTAACAACCAACTTGGGATGCGTGAACACCTTGAGACTGTCGGATCCACGGGGGAACTTTGCACGAGGTTAGCCCGAGGCAAGTCCTCGGTCAAGGGTGCTAGGTGCTAGGTGCCTTGGGTGCCAAGGGCAACTCCACTTCCAGTGACACCCACGGTGCCATCTTTGCTAGTCAAGGCCCTGGGGGAGAGTCATGGGGGGCCCTCTTGGCTCAAGTGGCTTCATGTTCTAGGGGGGATGCCAGTTCGGTAGCGTCGTCACTTGGACTGTGAGCCATCACCGAAAGGATAAAGGAACACCAACGGCCTAGTATGTAGTGACTCTGGGGGATATTGCTTTTCAGCCATGCCAGGGGGGTTCATTTCCTGAGATTCCGAATCGACTTGTTTACATCCGATGGCTGTTGTTTTACCGAGTCAAATTGCTTTGTTCGACTCGACTCATCTCGTCCTTCAGGCTTCGAGAATCTGCTCGCTTATTGTCCGCTTGTCACACACTATTATTAGTCCCACTGCAAGAAGTACGAGTACAAATGAAATTCAGCCTCTTCAAGTATGGCTTGACTAGCAAAAGTTACATGGATCTGCTTCTCGAGGCAAGCTTGTTTTTTGCTTTCTGCTTTTCAGCATCTATGGACAATATTAGACCTGAAGCACAACGTCTGCGAGTAGGGAGAGTTAGATACTCCTGGTCGCGGTATCGTGGAACCGTACAATAGAGACTAAGTGTTGGGCAAACAGCCCTGATTCTCTCAACATTATCTTTTGGAGTCTCGAGGTCGTACCGCAAGATTAGGGGCATCAGTTCGGGACCCCTTGTCGAGGCTTGTTGTGACACGACCACCCACTCAGCCACCATCACCACAACCACCATTGCCACGTGTTTTCCTCGTGGCAGCCCGGGACGTGTCACACCATACCGAGTACTGACCAGCCACCTCTTCAGGGCCTCCTGCAGTTTCATCTGCTCGTTTTGTGGCGGACGCCTTTTCGGCGCACAATCAGTCAGCGGTCGCTGTCGAGGCTGCGGTGCTGCAATCAGTGCTACAACTCCTGTTGTCACGGAATCGGTTTGTTGATTCTTCTAGACTCATGCTCGCTGCAGAGGGGGAACGATCAATGTTGATCAGTATGCGTGAGATACTGATCTTTCGTCGACGAACCGGCGTTGTCAGTTCCTTCTCGACAACAGGCTTCTTTAACGAGGGATTCCTTGCGGCCGTGTCATATCCCCAGCGGTATACTGGAACCCCGAACTCGTCGTACGAGATCAGTTCTTCGCATCCTTCGGCTGTCGTATAATCATTTTCACCAGCGTACGCTTTGAGTGAACTCAGCAAGTCATTGCGCCTCGTATTGTCAGGGTTTGTACAGGTCTCGAAAAGACCCTTCACTGATGCCAATGAACCCATGCATCGCTCCTTGACCTGCCACATCTCCGCATCGTCAAGTGATCCGACTTCGAAGAAGCCTCTAGCTACTGGCTTGAGCAGACCCTCCTCCACGAGGCGCTCCATTGCCCAGTCAAGCACATCCCTGGTCCAGCGAAATGGTTTCAGCTGCGTCTGAAGGAAGTTCCCGGCAATCCGCATTCCGGGTGTGGTCTTTGCTGCGAGATAGCCTGTAGCCACTCGGAGGAGAATAATGAGGAGGGGAGAATTCGGGGGTTTTAGCCCTTCGGAAAACAAGAGGCAGGTATAGCAGAAGTGCTCCTCAGGTATGGTAGCAGGAGGGAGGTTGTCGCCACGGCCATAGCATTCTTTATGCTGCCAACTATCGCATACTTCGCAAAAGAGCTAACCTGGTTAGCCACTGAATTGATAGTTTTCGACCAGCCTACCATTGAACTTGATCTATGCTGACTTCCACATTCACAGCCAATGCGACTCGATCGACTAAGCCGTCGGATCCTACCGTCGGCTAGCAGGCGATGGTCAAAAGCGTCTCCACTTTCACCAGTCTTTCCACTCTGAACAGCATAGCAGTGTATGAGAAGCTCTGCGAGCTTTGTGACACTGATACAGAGCCCATTTTCTCTAGGCAGGCTCTGTTGGACAGGACAATCTTTCGACGCACTTCCTTGGTGACCCGGTCCTGGGGTTGCGAAGGCTGACCCCCTAGGGCCCTGGAATTCTGTGAGTTGGTTTGTACCGACGCTGTGTAGAACAGACTCATCGCTTGATGGCTTCTTAGGTTCAGAGGGCCGCAGGCGTTTCGCACCAGGCATTGGGCCGTTCCTAGAACGTTTTGAACCAGGAAACGAGTCTCTCAAGGTAGACAATAAATTGTTGCTGTGGCTGGAGGAGGTCTTCTGCATTGCTTGCAGCTGTCTGCTGATTTCCGTGTCATGCAGATCAATCAACGGTTCTTGTCTTGCCGCATCTTGGAGGTGTACTGCAACGCGCATTTGATGGTAACCACACTCGAGCATACCTACAACATCCTCATCTCGATCCAGCAGCGCCTCACACATTGTCTGACCTTCCCCCTCTTGATATTCATCTTTGTCTACAAAGCCGGGTGGCTGATATACCATAGGACATGTCTCGTTATATGTGAGACTCATTCCTAGCTTGCGACGAGCTAGGTCTCTGTCAGTGTTCTGACCTGCGACAATACGAGAAACGCGCACCTGGCAGACGGGGTAAATTCCTGAGTGAACGAAGCAGAGCCCGTATCGCAGCCCTGAAACTTTTGTGCACATTCTCCAAGACGAATGCGTGAGCTACTGAACTCAAATGCACACTGGTGACAGTGCCACGTTCGTACGCAAAAGCGAAGTGGTAAGTCTCGATAATTGATGGCTGGCGTTGGGCTGCGTCGGTTACAAAGACTCGCAGGCTGTCTAGGTAGCTTTGATCCAAGGCGTCAAAAACTCCTTGCTCCTGACTGGAAATTAGCGGGCTTCTCGAAGTCTGCTGAGGATGTTCAGGGTTTACAAGCATATCAAGCATTTGATCAGCGCATCGATTGCCCCCACGGACGAGAAGTTTGACCTCTTGACCCTCACCAGCGCTCTCTGGTGCCAACGATTGAAAAGCTGAATACAGGCTCTCTCCGGCAGACGAGTCGCTTTCGAGGGTGATTTGATTGACATATCGCGTGCGGAAGCAGGACGATGTCCAAGGGATCAGTTCTCTAGTATGGGCGATACAGGCCAACGATGCGTTGAGGAAGATCTGAACAACCGCGAGGCTTTCGGCCTGGGAAAGTATCCGTTCAGTAGGAGGAGCAAGGAGCACCCGCTGTGCCATGATTGTGAGGACCCAATGATCAACTTTTGAGGGTGAAGGTAGAAGAATTTGGTGCTGGAAGTCAGAAGCACAGTGCGTTGCGGGTTTCGATGTCACGATTTCTGGATCTCACATGACCCAAGTCCACTTGCAGAGATATCACGTCCGTTATCAACCTGAAGTCCAGAGACGATAGAGGCATGAAGTCCTGACCGCCAGTTTTATTGGATGGACCATCAATCTACAGGAGCTTGTTCAGTCCGAATAATGTGTTTTGGTGGTTCCTTGAGGAGACAACTGGGTTATCTGAATGCATAGAGAGACAGATGAACGAGAGTATGTGCTCCCACTTTCGGTCGCCAAAACAGTTCATCTGTTCGAGCATCTCCATTTTCTAGAGTCAGCAGAATCCTGCTACCAGTTTGGTCGATAACGATCATGCCCTTCAGCAAAATCCGTAGCAATGTGACAGGTCGAAGACTTGCTCCCGAGAACAGGGTTGCCTATTTGAGCATGTTTGAGCACCCAAATGGCCATCTAGGAGCATGTATTAGGTAGGCAGGAGCTGACGACATTCACCTGGTGGTAATCACAAGCTGCCGGCTCCAGTGGCAAAGGCGAAATGAAGTCGCTTTTTCTGCGTATTATTATGGTGATGGCAGTGGCGCGGCAATTGCACCTAAAAATTGCCCGCAGCGGAAACCAAACAAAGTTGCTCATGTCTGACACCAAAGTCTTCTCCCTTCGCCCTGTCATTCTGGCGTTGTTTTGGTGTTTTGGTGTCAGAAAATCTGTCAGACAGAGCTTCCCTCCTCTGCCTTGGCTAGCAAGCGCGCGCCAAGCCTAAAGCCTTTCGTATCTTTCATTCCGAATCTTCTTTTCAGTGGTTCAGGCTCGAACGGCCACCCCCCTCGGGCCAATCCTGCACCACCAGTCACGCCCTTGGCCATCGCCTTCACCCTCGCCCTCGCTCGCTCCTTTGCCATCTCGCTGGATCCGCCCGCTCTCCACGCTGCCTCCCACTCTCCCGACACATACCAAACACCTCGTTCTTTGAGAAACATCATTGTTCAACGACTCAGTCCCGTTTCACACCCGATTTGGGACTCTGCAAGCGTGCATCTCCACGAAGGACCTTGCCATCGTTCTTTGCCTCTCGATTTTGAACAATAGCGGACCTTCATCGAACCTTCGCTTTGTTTTAAGTCCACGACATTTGCACAATACCACCTAGTTGTTGCAGTCCCAACGCAGGCGTACCTCGCCGCCATTGGCCCTCTCGCTTCGCCAAATCCTCTGTCTCGTCCTGTGATCTCAACGGAGTGGTCATTCACGTATTGAGACTGCATGGTGTTCTCACTACTTCCCACAGATCACGACAACGACGCGACCCTTATCTACTTTCCTCGGGCACATGATCTCTGTCCATAGACCTGACGAATTTGAACGGTGACGAGGAAGAACACAATGGAAACCGATACGGTGGACCCCGTTCTTCGTGGCCGGCACCGGTCTGTGCTTCGGGGGACTGAGATAGGACAACATCAACGAAGTAAAGACAACGCAGCCAGGACAGTAGAATCGGACAGCTTGCTGGGTCAATTCTCATTTGCACCAGCCACACAGACCACTGTTGTTACTACAACCACAACTACCACCACCAAATTTCCTCCCTTCATAATGCGTCCACTACGGCGGACGAAAGACTTGGATCTCAAGCAATATCCTTTGGCAGCGAGCCCTACCCCGGCCAGTTTGAAAAAGATACACTTCGAGATAGGCGGAAAACACACAATCTTCCGAGAAGCGGAAGATACCACACTGGCACTAGAGCAGGTACGAGGCGTGCATCTTGACTTTCTAACAGATTGCTAACTCGGGAGCTAGTTACAAGAGGAGCAACGGATTCTTCGAAATGCTAATGGCGCAGTCGAGACCGTGGAGACCTTCCAGCCTTATACTTCTATCCGGCCAGCAGGCTCAAAGTTTACCTCTTTCCGACGGAGAGCGCAGAGACGGCCAGCCTCTCCAGAGTCCATTACTGACAGTGAAGATCAAACTCAGTCGCACGAACCCTCCTTTGCATCAAGTCGTGCTGGACCATCGACGAGATATCGCCCCGAACTCGCCGCATCGAATTCCTACTACCAATCTATAAACCCAATTACCCCAGACAGTATTCCGAAATCCAGCAACGGATCTCGTGCACTCAAACTGCGAGATGTACGAGAGCCACGAGAGCAAGATGGCTCATCCAGAACCATGAGTACCCTCCTGCCCTCCCCAAATATGAGTCAACAACCACCATTTCCAAACATCCAGCCGTCATCACCACGATCTAGGCATTTTCATTCCCTGGAATCAGAAGACGGAACTGCCCCTTCCACTGATCGCTCCCATCTAGAGCGAAGAAGTCACAGAGAGATCTCTCAAGAGGCGGCGGTTCCTACGCCCCCTATAATCGATGACGGCGAGTTGTCTTCAGCAAGACCTCTAAGTAGGCGTGCTCTATCATCCGTCCCTGCTCGGCTGCATGTCGCGGAAAGTCCATCCGTGCAGGATGGAAGTCTTCCTAGTCCGAGTCTTTCTCCTGTCACAGCTGCTGCAACACTACAAAATACTGGATACTTTGCAGACGTTGATTCAAACTCGGAGATCGCCTCCCAGCACGAGGGTTTGTCAAGAGTTCTTGTACCGGATAGACAGTCACCCAACTCTTTTCACTCCCCCGAAGCCGCCGACTTGCATCCCTATCACGATTCTCGCCAGCTCTCCCGCTTCACCAGTGGCTCAGTCGCCGAGATCCCAGCAATGCTTGATTATTTTGAAGCCATCCCGGATGAACTGAAGAGCTACATTATGCACCAACTACTCCGCCGGTGCCCTAAGTCTACACTCCAGGTCGTTGCGGATGCTGTCAACCCTGCGCTCAAGTGCGATTTCCTCTCCCTCCTGCCGCCCGAATTGGCACTTAATGTTCTCAAATACCTTGATGTCAAGAGTCTGTGCAGAGCTGCGCAGGTATCGAGAAAATGGCGGCAGATGGTTAATGGCGATGAGAGAGCTTGGAAAGAACTATTCGATGCAGACGGATATACGCTGTCGGAAGGAGAATTGAAGCAGGCCATTGCCGAAGGCTGGGGTTGGCAAGATCCATCTGGTCCGTCTGGGTACGAAGAGAACATTGCCGATTCGACTCCCAGCAGGTACGATACATCCGCAGAGGCCCATTCTCCTGCAGCACAGTCCCAAAATAGGTTCAGTGAAATCCTACGCTCGAAGCGAAAGGCCCCCACGATGTTATCCAGTCGAAAGAAACAAATCAAACTTGTCAAGTCCAATTCCTGGGATACCTCGGTTGACGTCACCTCTTTTAGCCTGTTGAAGGACTTCTCCGCAGACGGCCCATATAACGCGGCACATTCGGCCATGGCTGCTGTCCCCCAACCGAACATCGGTCTACCGAGTCTCACGGGTCTACATCTTTACAAATCTCTCTATCGAAGACACTTTCTTATCCGGCGGAACTGGATGTTCGAAGATGCGAAACCCCAACATATCGCATTCCGCGCGCACGACACCCACGTCGTTACCTGTCTCCAGTTCGATACCAACAAGATCGTGACGGGAAGTGATGATAATAACATCAATGTCTACGAGACCAAAACCGGGGTCCTGAAGGCCATCTTGACGGGACACGAAGGTGGGGTTTGGGCTTTGCAATACGAGGGAAACACACTGGTTTCAGGTTCCACAGATCGATCAGTAAGAGTCTGGAATATTGAAGAAGCACGGGAAACACAGGTCTTCCGTGGACACACGTCAACAGTGCGATGTCTTCAAATCGTGTCTCCCGTCAAAGTTGGAGAAAATGCAGAAGGAAGACCTATCATGATGCCTAAGCAACCTCTCATCATTACGGGATCCCGTGACTCGACCTTGAGAGTGTGGAAGCTTCCGCGGCCAGAAGATCCAGTATTTATCCAAGCTGAGAACGACCTTGATACTGATGATTGTCCCTACTTTGTTCGCACCTTGTCCGGTCATCAGCACTCTGTACGTGCAATTGCTGCTTATGCAGACACCTTGGTAAGCGGAAGCTATGATTGCACAGTGCGTGTTTGGAAAATATCCACGGGCGAAACGATCCACCGCCTTCAAGGCCACACTCAAAAGGTCTACAGTGTTGTCCTCGACTATGACCGCAACCGCTGTATAAGTGGTTCCATGGATAACATGGTGCGCATCTGGGATCTAAACACTGGATCTCTCAAATATTGCCTGGAGGGCCACACATCCTTGGTCGGTCTGCTGGACTTGAACTGCGATAAACTCGTATCTGCAGCAGCCGACTCGACCCTCAGGATATGGGATCCAGAGACTGGACAGTGCAAGGCTACTCTGAGTGCACATACCGGTGCTATCACCTGCTTCAAGCATGACGGCGAGAAAGTCATATCCGGGTCTGACAGGACTTTGAAGCTGTGGAACATCAAGACCGGCGAGTGCGTGAAGGATCTGCTCTCCGACCTCAGCGGAGTATGGCAGGTGAAATTTGATGAAAGGCGCTGTGTTGCAGCAGTGCAGCGCGAAGGTTTGACGTTTATAGAGGTACTGTCACACCCCTGAACTTTTGTGTCAAGTCGACTGACTTTCTTTGCAGGTTCTAGACTATGGCGCCGCTCGTGATGGTGTCCCTAAATTCAACCTGGGTCGAAGAATTGTTGTCGATGCCGATGGGATGGAAGCCGATCACGATGACAACGGATATCTGGATCTGGACGGCTCCGCTGATCCGTGATGTCTTCCCAAAGAAATCAATCAGACCTGAAGTTGATAGATTTCAATTTTTGACGAAAAGCTGCAGGGCAGGGCAGGTATCCCCCGACGATGCATCATCACTCAACCACTCTCTGTCACGTCTTGGGAACTTGGAAAAAATATGACGATCACTGTTTAATGATTTTTGCTTCACGATGGCACCTTCGACGCCCATATGGAGGCTCAGAAGATCACGAAATGTCAACTTCACCAATATGTTACAGCACACCAGCGAGTTCTTCTTGTTTATGGGTTGTTTTAGTCTGCCCATGCTGGCCGGATGATGTCTCTACAACCGGCAAAGGAGCAAGGTGTTTCTGCATGAGCAGATCTTTGTCTCGAACCAGAGAGGGTGTTTCCCATGCCATTGAATGTTCTGCTGCGAGAATTGGAACTGCACCTTGGCCTCGGTGGGATTGCACTGCTTGGAGAACACACTTAGGATTTCTCAAGTTCTAGCTTTTGAAAATGTTGTTCTTAACCCCGCCAGACGTAGCCATGCCTGACGAATACATAGGAAATGCACATATTTACGGACGTTCCAACCTAGAGTTTTAGGGAGACATTTGGTCAAAGACGATCCTTGGGGAGAGTAGCGTGGAGAGGATTGACCGTTTTGGGATTCACACAAGCGTAGAAAGGCAGTACTGGGCAGTATAGAGTATTCACGACGCCGCAGTCCGGGTCCGTGTCACACCGTGTGGTCCCGGTGCGGCAAAGCACGCCTTCTTCGCCTAGAATACATTCATTGCTCTAGAGCACGTCGGTGGTATCATGCCGCGGAACGCTCCGAGCCTCAAGTCCCCGGATCCCAGAGATACACTTTCTTGTTTCCACCCCGGATATTTGGTCCTCTCTTTCTGTCTCTCTCTATTGCCTCCTCTTCCGATTCGAGGTCGACCCGCCTCCCGAACGCGAAACGGGTTCGGTAAACATGGACTCGAAAGCATCCAAACCTTGGGTGACCCCCTTGCCCACCAGCGCAGGGGGTTCGCGCGGCTGCTGCGTGTTGGACTGCTCCTGGCTGGCTGCCGAACTGCGGGTTTTCTGACGACGGCGTCTCGATTGCGGCTGTTGCTGTTGCTGTTTCTTGTTCGATTTGGACGGTTTGGGCGGTTCCGCGAACATGGCTTCAAAGGCATCCAGGCCCTGCGAGACCCCTTTGCCGACGAAACCTGGTGGGGGTTGTGAAGCGTTTGGTTCCGACGGTCCCCCTGCCGCCGCTCGGTTTTGGTGTCGTTTGGGTAGGGTCCGGGACTGCTGTTGTTTCTTCGACCTGGGTGAATGAGGTGGCTCTGCGAACATGCTCTCAAAGGCATCGATGCCTTGCGAGACGCTTTGGCGTGGCGGAGGCACTTGTGTAGGGGCCCTCCTAGAAGAAGAAGACCCAAGAGGAGACATTGATTCGGCCACAGACTCAAGTGGAGTGGCTCTACGCTTCGAAGGCGCGTTTGTGCTTGCGGGCTTTGCACGATCTCGAGAGTTCAACTCTTTATACACGAAATCAAGTTGCTCGTGTAGGGATGCGGTCGAGTCAGCCTTGTCAGAGTTTGAGCCAGAGTATTTCCTCAAAGAGTCAAAAACCCGCGGAGGCTCTCGCTGTCCTTGCGGTTCGGTTGAGGCCGGAGCACTTGCTTCTGAGCCAGTGCCCAAGATCTCGCGCATGAATTCCTGGAGACTCAAATTTGGAAGTGCGGTTGATCCACTTCCTGACGACTGTGCAGGCTCAGAGTCCGACTCCTTGCCATGAAGTAAATGTGATATCTCTGCTCCGATTGGACTCGGGCGAGTTGAGGCGCTTTTACTGATGACTTTGTGGTCCGCAGCTTTGTCCATAGCATACCACTCCAGGTTTGCGGCCCTGAGAATGGCCCATTGCAGATTCTTGAGGCCGAGGGCGTTTTCATTCGCTCTCTTCGCAGTCGAGACATCTTCGAGCGATCCAACGGCGATCATTTCGCCTAGCATTAACGCCGAGTTGCCCTCGAAGGTGGCTTGGCTGCGCAGCCTCGTCAACGCTTCGCGAATGTCCCCTTCTGCAACCTTTGAGCTCAATCGATCACATTTTGTGGCAACAATCTGGAATGGGATGCCGAGCTTGTGAAATATCTCCAGCATGTGGCGGTCGGCAGCCATGACGCCGTGGCCACTGTCAACGAGCAGAAATGCCCTGCGCAGATTCCTTCGGTTGTTCAGGTACGACACAATCTGAGCACCCCATTCGGACCTGCTGCCAAAACCATACCCGGGCATATCCACAAGAGTGAGCTTCGGGTTGACATCTCCATCCCACCCTTTTATAGCGCCACCAGTTTCGTCTCTTGCTGCCAACGCCCAAGCGGCCATGACCTGGGTCATTCCAGGAGTAGCACCGACTCGATTAAGATCCGAAGAAGTGAGGGCATTGATCAAAGTGGATTTGCCAACGTTGGATCGCCCGACAAAGATGACTTCGGGTACTAGGATGTTTTGTTGCGAGGGTCTTGAGGAGCGGCGCCAGGGTTCGGACGTTTTCCAGCCTGTTCCAGTCCATGTCCTCGAGGGCTTGTGGTTTTTGAAGAAGTGTGCCGCTGCAGCTAGATTCTCTTCGGTCGGAGGAGTGGTATCCCAGTACCACGACCCAGCAATCTCTGAGGGCGGATCTTGAAGCTGAGAACGAGTCGAGGACAGTCTGCGTCGGCCATTCTGGAGCTCGACTAGACGTTGTCGGAGACGAGTGCGGCAGACCAACCGGCAAGTAAAGCAAGTAGAGCTTTGCATTTAATCGCCAGGCAGAACTTGTGAAAAACTGGAGCCGGCGTTGAAGAAAGGAAGCCAACAACAAGCACAGGATTTCGGAGCGCAGGGCGCGGCGACATGGAAATTTTGAGGATCTTGCGTCGCGTCGCCGAACCCGAACCCGCCAATCAAAGGCAGCCCCAGGAGGACTTCCCCGTCAGCCTTGTAGCCTCGAGCCCAAAAGCCTCTAACTCCCCACATTCTGAAGAGGGCAAACTTGAAGGACAGGGTGCGTACCTCGACGGCAAACACATCTTCGTTCATGCAACGGCCACTCATTCACGATGATCAACGCTGTTCTGGTCTTCAATAATAACGGTCAGCCGAGACTGACAAAGTTCTACTCACAACTAGTTAGGTGACACACTGCGAAAACAACCATCACCAGTGCTGACTATGTTCGTGCAGGATACAGCGACACAGCAGTCTCTTCTTTCCCAAATATTCAGCCTCGTATCAGCTCGACCAGCTTCTGCCTGTAACTTTCTGCCGCTCCCTCCCTTGTTGGCTCCCAGTGGCACGGGCACCAATGCTTCGCCCGACGCACCCACCCAAATCACGTACCGCCATTATGCTACCCTCTACTTCATCTTGATCTCGACTTCTACCGAGTCTCCTCTAGCGCTGCTCGACTTCATCCAGGTGTTTGTCGAAGCCCTGGACAGACTATTCGAGAACGTGTGCGAGCTGGATCTGATCTTCGGGTTCGAGACCTTACATGCCGTTCTCAGCGAAATGGTCGTTGGAGGTGTTGTCGTCGAGACCAACCTAGATAAGATTGTTGAAGGTGTCCGAACAACCGAGGGAGTCAAGGGCAAGAGGAAAGCCATCAATGCCCGCGATTCTACCAGCTCCATAGGGAGGGGTACGGGATTTGCTGGTCTCAGTTGGGCTACAGGGTCAGGAAGCAGCTGGAGGTGACTTTGAGCTTAGATGGGGAGGAGAAATATCACCACATCCACAAAATGCCTCAATCACGAACAATTCGGACTGAGAGACAAAAATCTCACATTACGACAGCCAGCCAGCGGCAGGAAAGGAACTTTCTCGTCACTCGCACTTTGGTTTTGAGCAATTGGATACAGTCGCGTATTGCTCCAAGAGAGATGATTCTCGCACTCGGCTATACGTCGACTCTGGTCTCTGAACAACCTTATCCGGCCCATCTGGCCACATACGCTCGCGATGCGGACACACGCCACGAATGAACATATCACATGTGCTTGTGTGTGTGACAAACATAGGGCATCGGAAAGGACGCTTGGAGTCAAGTGAATGCTGGCATTGACGCTGTGCTCGCTTTCCGAACATACTAAGGAGGTGCAATCGATCTATCAGTCCGCTGATGCTCGCTACCCAGACGACAACCAACGCAGCAAGATATTCAGTTCTCGTTCGTGTCTACAGGGCGAATGCGAGACAGAAAGCAATAGATCAGTCTTGAAGTGCGAGACGGAGGTGTTCTTTCACGGGCGGCGTCTAGAGGCGCAATCAGAGACAGTCGACAAGCGGAGTCACCACCATCACTCGCGAAGGGGGTATAATTCAAATTTCCTATCCTCTTAGGATCTTGCCGGCTCGGGACGGCAAGACGATAGAGGCTCGGCCCAGTGCGGACTACCGAGTCATGGGTCAACACGAATTGGTGGATGTAGGAATTCGATGGAAGAGGTTATGTGTGATGGCACAGTTTGAAAGCACGGTATTGGTGAGGCATGCACCGTGAAAGAGCACTTTCGGACAAAGAGAAGGGTGGACCTAGTGATGTTGAAAGCACTGGGTTGCCCGAGGGCACACCGGGCACCATGATGCAGGGACCTTGGACTCGACAAAGTCTGGAGTTTCTCAGTGGTCTGCAGTGTGATGGAAACAAAGGGACGAGGTTGGGTCGAGAAGCCACATTGGAATGTTCCCGGGCGCTTAAAAATAGGATGTGAATGGAGGGCACAGACTGTGAGATGGATGCCTCCTAGACGATTGCAGTTAGAGCCCCCCTAACAGGGACCCCGCCATCCAGGCACCTAGCCACCCCCATAGGCTCGCCCACTATCGACGGGGGCTCCCCTCTTGGACATTTGGGTGCTTTGGCTTATGATTTGCCCGCCACTGTGCTTCACCCTGCAGACGGCATCCTCGTTTTCACAGCTTCCCACTTCTCACCTGGTACCAATCATCACAGCAGGCGGCTTGCTGGCCGCTCCT